CCTCCTAAATATATCTCACATCCACACCTCTGTCTTCACTGCCAGTACCTAAGTTAAGATGACGAAGATCTCTTATCGGGATAAATGAAATAATCTCGTAATTGATCTCCCTGACTCTAGTTTTACTCTCTGCTATTTCATTAACTTCTGTTTTTAATAAAGTACTCCAGTCTTCCTCCTTTGGATTTATTTTGGTCTTTGTTTGTTTTAGCTTTATGTGTTGAATACATATCTTTTGGGTGAAAAGCTGTGAAGCTTTCTGTTTTGCTCTTCAGTACTTTCATAACTTGTTAAAATACACCTTCCAGATAATGTCCACAGACAAACAGATTGCTATAAATGGAAATAGAGCAACTAACAGTTTTACCATACATAAATGAAGGGGTGGTACTTGAATTTAACAATCCTCTCTGGTTCTAAAATCTTATCCTTGGGTGTGGTGGTGTGAGCTTGTAATCCTAGCACTCTTAGAGGCTGAGGCTGCAGGATCTCTTGAGCTCAGGAGTTCGAGACCAGCCTGAGCCCTGAGCAAGAGCAAGACCTCATCTCTACTAAAAATAGAAAAAATTAGCCAAGTGTAGTGGCGTGCATCTGTAGTCTCAGCTACTCAGGAGGCTGAGGCAGGAGGATCACTTGAGCCCAGGAGTTTGAGGTTGCAGCGAGCTACAATGATGCCACTGTACTCTACCCAGGGTGACAGAGTGAGACTCTGTCTCAAAAAATAAAATCTTATCCTTTGAGTCATGTGGACGTTATCAAGTAACAGTTCTTCATATGGTAAAGGCTTGATTGTCTCAGGATATTTTTATGTAAGTATTTATTAAACATTTATGTTTTATGCACTTTGATACAGTAATGAACAAAACAGAAAAATTCCTGTTCTCGTGACACTTATATTCCAGTGGGACAAAATAGTATGCAGGTAAATAGATAATTAAATTAGTTTTTGATGGAATCCTGCAAAGAAAATAAACAGTAATGCATTAGTGTGACTTGGTAAACAGAAAGGTCACTGTGGATATAATCAGTTACGCTGAACTAGAAACTATGTTAGCATACTAAATTATAAAGGAAGCATGGTTTTGTGCACTAGATCTTTAGTATATTGTTGATTATAAGAGATTTTGGTCTAAAATAATTGTTCTTGAATTGCATCCAAGTATGGAAAGGCTGAGGTTATTGTGAGGTTCATCCTTTATATCACCTGAAATAATGTGTTCAGGTACCAGTATTTATTTCTCAGATTTTATTTTCTTCTATGACTTTTCAGCTGTTGCAATAAATTAGAAACCCTCTGAAAATTTTACTTTCAATATGATTCAGAAACTTGTAAAATATTTTTTGGTCCAGCTCTCAAGCCCTGACTTTGAGTTTTTGACTCTTGAGAGTGTCTGGGACTCTGATGTAATTAAAGCTGGTAATGTGGGGAATTTACAATTTACATTTGTGCTCATGTATTTTTTTAATTACTTTTTTCTTAGGTATGATGAAATGAGTATTCTCTTCACAGTTTTGATTACTGAAACTACTTTGGAAAATGGATTAATACAGCTGAGAAGTAGAGACACCACAATGAAGGAAATGATGCATATATCCAAATTAAAAGACTTTTTAATCAAGTATATATCATCGGCTAAGAATGTATAGATTTTTGTATTTGTATAATAAATATTCTCTCCTAATTTAGTTGTCTTATGTCAACTTGGATTATTTTTAGCCCCTTTGCACTTATGAAGTGGACAATTTTGGTGCTTCCTTTGATTCTATTTTTATTGTATTTTTGATGTATTCCACTGTATCAGGAGTATGTTCAGCTATGAGAAACAAAAATCTTACTGAACTGGGTAAAGCCATTTGGGGTTTGTTTTCCTCATATAACAAGAAACCCAGAGAGTAGACTGTCCAAAGCTGGGTGTAGCTGTTTATAGTAAAGGACCCAGGTTACGCATCTTTCTGTTCTACCATCTTCAGTGTGTTGGCTTTTATCTTTATACTTGTTGCCTCATGATCACAGGTGGCTGCTGTATTTCCAGCTTCTCATCCTTCTAGTTAGAAGTAAAGTCAAAGAGACAAGAGCTGGCCAGCCAAGACTCTTCCAGTTTTTATTAGGAAAGTAAAAGCTTTTCCAGACATCTTAATCAGAAGACTTCTTTACATCTCATTGGTCAGAACTGCATCACATGGTAATTTCTAGACCAATCACTATCCAAGAGAGTGAGACTATCCTGATTTAGATGAAATGCAGTTTATCCCTTGGGGCTACAATAATGTCTTACTCTCTCTGAAATGGGTTTTGTTATGGGGGTGGGGGAAGGGATCTTTATGGAGTCTGCCACATCTATACTGTCAAATATCAAAGATTAATTAACCTAAAACTAAATTTTTAATAGAACATTTATTGTTTTTTGAAAAGGAAGCTAAAATAAATGTTAGAAGTAATCTAACTATTGCAA